CATGGCAGGTATCACTCGACCTGTGCCCCGTGCTGAGGCGGATGGGTTGCTTTTTCTTTTCCAGCTCGATTTAAAAGTGAAATGGAGGAGCCCGATGCCAGGAAAGCCCTGCCCTTTCATCAACTGAATCCCCTCGGGTCAGATGCCAGCCTTCGGGTCTCTAGAGACCATAGGCGGGCAGGCTTGTTTCCCAGGAAAGAAGTCCTGCGATGCCCAGAGCTGAACCCTGTTGCCTTTCCCCACCCGCCTTCAAAGGACGATCGGTCTCCAAGAGCCACCTTCTCCTTGTCACTGCTATTCGGGACACCCTGGGTGGTTCATCCACGTGTTGTGGGGTTTAAATATAACCCAGGAGGCTGCCTGGTAATGAGAGAGGGTGGAAAAGCCAATGAATAACCAGCGAGACTCCTTTTCATGGGCACGAGGCTTTGGGGTCCTCATGTCTTTCCACCCAAGCGACAATCATCTTCCCAGGCAGAAAGGGAAGAGCTAGGTCTGGTCCAGACAGGAGCTTAGCCAGACCTCCACCTTCACAGACCTCCCAGCAAATCCCCGATGTTATCGGGCTAAACCGCACGTGCGACTACAAGACACGATGCCTGAAACACCGACCGAAGCAGAAGCAGGGGAGACGCGGGAAGGGGAGACGCGGGCAGTGCCCGTGACTGGTCGATCCAGGGGGAAAGATGGCTTTCAAGGAAAACCCAGAGAACCAAACAAAATCTGCAAACGCTTTAAGAAGGGGAGAGATATCTCTGCCCAGACCTAAGGCTGCTCTGGTTGTCCCGGCTCCGTTCCAGACCTCGCGGAGAGGGGACGCACTCATCACCCCTGATGACCCTCCTCTCGCCCCCAGCGGGAAGGACCAGCTCCGGACATCACTTTTGCAGGATCGCGCCCAGGCCTGTTTTGCAGAGAGGGGCCCCTCCGGAGAGCTGGCGGGCTGACAGGACATAGCGTCAGCCTCTCGGGGGGACGGGAAACCGCTGGCTCCTCACCGCGGCGGGAGGGTTTTGCTGAGCTTCCGCATGAATGTCCCCTTTCTCCGTTCCCTCCCATTCTGCTCCATGTTTGCACCCCCGCTCCCCCCCCCAGTCTGCAAATGCTGCAGGCTTTCTCGACATGGAAATTTTCCCCCCTAGGCTCTGCTGAGGAGTCAGCATTTTCCTCTAAAGCCTTCCATAAACAGCCCCGAGCGCTGGATCCGACATCCCCGGCTCTGTTTAGACTCCCAGCATCCCACCCTTGCCGCTCTCCCCTGCTCAGGCCAGAGCCCTTCCCATGGATGCAAGCAAAGGTCTCGTTATCTAGCCTTGAGGGTGTTTTCAAATGGGCAGACAAGGCTCTTTGGGCAGATGTGCTATCTTTTATTAGACCAACTAAACAGTTGGAAAAATTGTTCTTTGCAAGCTTTTGGGCCCGAACGCCCTTCTTCAGGCATAGTGGTGAATGGCGTGCTCTCCTGGGTAGAAGAGTAGCCCAGATGCAGGTCTGTGAAAATGCATGTGCGTGGCAGTGAGCATCAGAGGGGATGGGAGACTTCAAATGGCTCTGCACAGTGTGACTCGGGAGGGCTGAGCTCACGGAGAGGCCGTGCCACCAAACAGCTCAGTTTCCAGGCACTTGATAAAGCATTTTCTGCAGCTCTCCTTATCTTATCAGGAAGCAGGGGAGCCTGAGTGGGGGAGAGAGGGCAGCCTTGGGACCGCTACCAGGATGGGGTGGAACGCCCTGTTCCTTCGATAAGCGTGCAAGGCTGCACACAATCTGGGAAGGGGGGACGGGGGCAGTCGTGTCTCTGCACCTGGGTTGTGCCCGGAGTGGGCAAGCACGGCTGCCTTGTCCTGCGAGCAGCGCTGCTCTGAGCTGTAATCTCCCCGATTCCTCCAGGATTTGGGGCCAAGCAGCTCCTCAGCAAGGGTTAACAAGCATCTCTGTGCTGGGAGGGTGGGAGCCCTGCTTCTCTGCCTGCCTCAGCAGCCCCCTGCCTAGTGGGATCAGGGGCCTTCAAGGCTTCCCTCCGCCCTGCCCCAAGGGGAGAGGGTGAGGAGCATGCAATAGGGAGATCCACACCAAAGACCAAGCACCAGTTGGATTTAAGGGGTGGGGGCATATACCCTGACCATGGCAGGGGTGATAGAGAGCCCGTCTCCACCACAGCCAGGGGCAGGACCAGGAGGAAGCCTGCTCTGACCCCCTCCTTTATACAGGGATTCGAATCAGGCAATGCTAGGGGCCTGGATTAGCCCCAGCCCCAGGCAGGGGGGTGTGTGAAGTGTGTGGCAAGGATTCATGCCTTGAGCGAAGGAAGACGGCTGAGGCCATAGACGGAAACCAGCACAGCGGTAACCACCCTTGGCTTGGCTCCGACACCCACAGGAGGCGGCTGTCTCGGGGGCTGACAACGGGAGAGCCTTTTTCTGAGATCCCCCTCAGCATGAGTTTGCAGCCAGCACCTGTTGGACAGGCCCAGCTGAGAAGGATGGACACCCGCTGCCCTTCTCCAGGGGTTAGCACAGCTGTACTGAGACACAGCTGGGCAGTGCCAGGGCTGATACCGCCCCTACCTCCAATGCTTGGAAAACACCCAGGGAGCCCACCCATGCGTCTGCCCAGGAAAGGACCCGCCTCGACAAATCCCAGGGCTGGGCGCATTCGCCGCCAGCGGAAACGACTGGCATTGGCATGGTCGCAGCTTCTCAAGCGGCTGCGGGAGCCCAGCCGAGGAGCGCAGGGAGGGGAAATTACAGAGGCCGTAATGACAGGGTTTTGTTCTCATTAAGAGTTAATGGCAGGGGAAAGAGAGCAGCAGCCCGACATAATGAGCGCCTGCTGCTAGGTAGATTCAGAGGCATTTATCAAGCCCCAAGGCAGGCACAGGGAAGGCGGGCACGGCGCGTGGGCTCCAGCGACGCTGTGCCAGCTGCAGCCAGGCACGGAGGATCCAGCATTAGGATCCAGGAGCTCCCCCTGCTACGCTCAGCTTAATCCCTGCCCAGGGGGCTCTCCGGCTCCTGCCCCAGACAGGCCTGCTGCAGCTTAAGGACCAAGCCGGGTCTGATTTCCTCCACTTTTACCAAAGAAGCTAGGTCCCAAAGCCCCTGCTTATTGCCCCTGGGAGAGTTATACCGCATGGAAGACTCCAAGTGCCGTAGGAAGCTCATCGTACCCAGCCCATGCCTGAGCGCTGTGTAAGACGGTCCAGTCCTTTGCCATGCAACGACCCAGCAAGCACGTGACGGCCGTTCTGCACTCAGAAACAGCCCAGGCTGCCCCGTGGTCCCTTCACACCATCCACGAGGCAAAGGATTGTCCCACCCTGTTGCTGGTCAGTCGGGCAGGCTGCACCCGGCTGCAGCTTGGGTGTGCAAATGGAAGACCAGGGAGCAGCCCCAGGGGCTTGAAGGTGTATTATCTTGTGCCACGTTCAAGTCGGCTCTGCTGCACATACATGTGTATGCTAAGTCGACTCGAAAAAGTTAAGTCGGCTTAACCACTGGAAAGTTAGTACGTGTGTCCACCCCCTTTGAGCTCAAGTCCCCCCAGAGCAGAGCCAGGGCTTTCAGCATGGCATTAAAACTAAATGGGAAGTGATTACTGCAAAGTCACGACGGCCTTCAAACCTGAGTTGACCCTCCTCCTTCGAGAGGGCTGTAAAACAAGCTCAGCTTGACGGTTTCAGCTTCAGACACTGGCAGAGATAAGCCCAGCGGTGACTGAAAAGGGCTCTGGGAACAGAAGCTAGACCTCAGCCTAGGCTGCAGGCTCTGCTCCTGCTAGGAGCTAGGAAATGGGCCAACACCGTGCTGCCAACAAAGGCTGCGCTAAGAAACCCAAGAATCAGGACTCATGGTAGAGGTGATCTCTTTTATTAGACCAATTAGATTTTTGCAAAAAAGATTCTTTGATTGCAAGCTTTTTTGCAAATTAAAGAAATGTTGCAATGTAATGAAAGTTAAATTAAATTAAATTGCAGTTAAATTCAATGAGATACATTGCAATGAAATTAACATTGCAATCAAAATTGCAGTTAAAGACCTTTTTTTTTGCAAAAATCTAGTTGGTCTAATAAAAGAGATCACCTTTACCATGAGTCCTGATTCCTTTTGCCTCTAGACTGATATGGCTATAACCCGGATACCTAAGAAACCCAAGCACTCACCCACAAGCACGTGCTCTGGCCTGAATGGGCCTGCTGTTGATGGGGAAAGGCAGCGGTGCGGTGGAAGCAGTCACTGACACACCATCCATGAGCCATCGTAGGTATCCGGGTGACTTCAGGAAAAAGGGGGCTTGGCCATAACGGCTGGGGGACAGCGAACAAGGACGGGCCCAGCCCCCGAGGCCATGAAGAGGCAGCAGGTGGGAGAAGGGGACACACAGGTAGCCTACAACGTGGTATCACAAGTAAACCCTCAATTAAGCCGACCACCCCCGGCAGCACAGAAGCAGGGCAGGCTTGTGGAGAGGACGATAACCTGGGAGCCAGGGAGCCCTAGTTTCATCACTGAGCTGCCATTTAACCCCTGAAGGCTACTTCACCTCCACCAACTGTGCCTCAGTTTCCCCCCCTAACCTGAGTATGTAATTACTATCAGAGCCAGGGCTATCTCTTACTACGTGCATGTACAGCACCTGGCACTATGGGGTGCCAGTGCCTATTGGGACCTCTGCAACCAACAGCAATATACTAATATATTGTATAATTATACAGCGTAACTAATGAAGCCTGCTTGGGGCAAGGGAAAAATGCAAGGGGTTGTCCCAGCGCATCCAGAGCCCCTGGCGGAGTGCGCGACACATCTGCAATGGGATGCTAATTCATTTAACTCCTGGCCTAGACAGCACAAGAGCTCAGCTTGCTGGAGACGGGGAAAGCAAGGTGAAGCTGTGGCCAGCAGAAGCTGGGAGAACTGGTCTTAAGGAAGATGCAATTCCTTATTTTCATGGACCCTTCCTCACCAAAGGGCCTGAAGAAAACAGGGGGACACTGCGACCCGCCATGGAAAAGAGAAGCAGCTTCTTCCTTTATTGCAGGGCCGGAGAGGGAGTTTGCACCAAGAGCTCTAACAGGTCAAGAGGGGAATTTTACTGCACGATGGGCTTTTTCCTCCGGGTGTCTTCTTCCTTTTTAGCCCTCTTCTTTCCAGCAGCTGGTAGGGGAACCCAGGTCAAGAGGAAAGGGGTGTCAGCAGAAGTGTAAACAGTCAGCCACGGTCTTCCTGGAGCCATGCGCTCGTGCTGCAGAAACAAGGGAGGGGGAGAAAAGTGAGACGAGGCTGCCCCCTCCCGGCCATGCCCGAAAGAAAATCCACCCACCCATCAGCAATGACAGGTCCAGCAATGACCTTGACAAATTGGAGGATTGGGCCAAAAGAAATCTGCTGAGGTTCAACAAGGACAAGTGCAAAGTCCTGCACTGAGGATGGAGCCATCCCCTGCGCCGGGGCAGGCTGGGGGTGACGGGCTGGGCAGCAGCTCTGCAGAAAAGGACCTGGGGGGACAGGGGACAAGAAGCTGGACAGGAGCCAGCAGTGTGCCCTTGGTGCCAAGAAGGCTACCAGCATCCTGGGCTGCACTGGTAGGAGCGGTGCCAGCAGATCGAGGGCAGTGATTCTTTCCCTCTGTTCAGCTCTGGTGAGGCCACATCTGGAGTCCTGTGTCCAGCTGCGGGCCCCACTACAGAAAGGATGTGGACACATTGGAAAGAGTCCAGTGGGGGGTGATGAAAATGGTTCAGGCGCTGGAGGACATGACTTATGAGGACAGACTGGGGGAACTGGGCTGATTTTGTCTGCAGAAGAGAAGACCGAGTGGGGATTGAACAGCAGCCTTCACCTCCCTGCAGGGGGGTGCAAAGAGGATGGAGCTGGGCTGGTCATAGAATCACAGAAGTCAGGTGGGAAGGGACCTTGTAGATCTTCAGGTCCGACCCCCTGCCTGGGCAGGAAGAAAACTGGGCTCAAGTGACAGCCAGGTAGACATCGAGCCGCTTCTTAAAGACCCCCAGGGTAGGAGCCAGCACCACTTCCCTTGGAAGTTGGTTCCAGATCCTAGTCATCCTGACTGTGAAGTAGTTCCTACAGATGTCTAATCTGAACCTACTCTCCAACAACTTGTGGCCGTTATTCCTTGTTATCCCAGGGGGCGCTGGGGGAAACAAGGTCTCCCCCAAACCCTTCTGGTCCCCCCTAGTGAGTTTATAGACGGTCACCAGGTCCCCCCTCAGCCTTCTCTTGTGGAGGCTGAACAGGTTCAGGTCCCGTAACCTCTCCTCGTAGGGCCTGCCCTGCTGCCCCCGATCATGCGGGTGGCCTCCTCTCGGCCCTCTCCATGCTGTCCACATCCCTCTTGAAGCGTGGTGCCCAGAACTGGACGCAGTACTCCAGCTGCGGCCTGACCAGCGTCGCGTAGAGGGGGAGGATCACCTCCTTGGACCTACCTGAGATGCACCTGTGGATGCACAATAGGGTCCGGTTAGCGCTGCCGACCGTGATAGCCTCGCATTGTCAGCCCATGTTCGTCTTGGAGTCAATAATGACTCCAAGATCCCTTTCTGCCTCCGTGCTCTCAAGAAGGGAGTTTCCCCATCTTATAAGTGTGTTGTCGGTTACTACTGCCCAAGTGCAGCACCCTGTATTGAAACGCATCCTGTTTTTGTTAGCCCACCCCTGCAACCTATCCAGGTCTTTCTGCAGCCTCTCCCTCCCTGCTAACGTGCCCACCTCTCCCCACTGGTCTCAGTGGGGGCAGATGACAGAGCAAGGAGCAATGGACTCAGGTTGCAGCCAGGGAGGTTTAGGTTAGGGATTAGGAAGAATTTCCTCATGGGGAGGGTAGTAAAATACTGAAACAGGTTACCGAGAGAGGTAGTGGGATCTCCATCCTTGGAGGTATTTAAGGCCTGGCTACACAAAGCCTTGGCTGGGATGATGTAGGTGGGGCTGGTCCTACTTTGAACAGGGGCTTGGACTAGGTGTGACCTCCTGAGGTCCCTTCCAACCTGAATTTTCTATGAAGATCCTTCAGCTAAATTTCTCTCAGAGGCTCCCTGGGCCACGAGCAGATAAAGGATTTCCTGAGGAGAGCGCGTACTTGAACTTAACAGCAGCAAACATGATGCTGATGATCTGCTCAGCACAGGCTTTCCATGGCCAGGGCCCTGATCTAATAGGAGGGGACCTCACCTTCAGGTGTTGTGAGCACCTGCTTCTCCTGTTAACAGCCACCAGACATGTCAGAGCTCAGACAGTCTGGAAATCAGAGAGTCCTCCATACTCTCCTGCAAAGCAAGCAGGCATTGTTCCCATTTTATGGATGGGGAACTGAGGACCAGAGTAGAACGACCTGTCCAAGCTCCCACAGTTGATCAATGGTACGGGGCCAACTCAAAGGAGACCTTGGTTTCCAAATCTCCCCTGCCTACGGGCTCTTCTTTCCACACAACACTCAGGTCTGTTGGGATGCCACGGATGTTACCGGTGACATCTGCTTCAAGCCAGGATTTTTCTTATTTTGTAAGAATCAGGGCTCGTCTTGAGTAGCAGCGTTGCATGATTTAACACACCCCATGTGTAAGCCCCTACTTCCAGCCACATAAGTGTCTAATAGATGCACTTAAACTGGCTTAATCCTCCATCTTAATCCAGGAATTGGCCGATGCAAACCAAAAGGATCTGAGCAAGGGTTAAACGTTTAAGGCCATCTATGTTAGGACCTTGCACGGCTTGACCTGACTGGAATTTAAATCCCATCTGTTAAAACAGTGCTGCTTGGTGAATACAAACAAGCCCTCCATCCAGCCGGCACATGCCAAGGTGCAAGGTTGGATACCGTCAGCGCAGCACGTGGTAGAAACAAATACAGTTGTCCCCAGCCCCTCCAGGTCTGTCTGGGAGAACCCCCTTCTTGCAGTAAGGGCGCTCGGTCCATGCCGACGAATGGCCTAACAAAGTGAGCATGCCACGGTGGTTTCCCAGACTAGATGGGAGGCGTGAGACCCACCGCAAGACCTCATTTCAATGAGACTATTTAAAGGTGAGTCACCTAGTGCTGCATCTCCTGCCCCTGGTGAGCTCCAGCCCTCCCCGAGGCTACAGATGTGACGACCAGCTGCAGGCTCCTTAGCTCACAAGCAACCCCCCTGGGCCAGCCAGTCCCCAGGTCCTTGTTCTGCTGAGTACATCCTCCCCTAGAGAGCTGCCTCTGCCCTGGGGACCGGCATGCTCGGCTGGCAGGGCTCTTTTGGTGTTCGTTTTCAGAGAGGGGCATTTTTGGCAAGCATGGATTCATCTGGGAGTGGGGCCGAGCTGGTGTTCTTGCAATCCCAACAAGAGCAGGCCACTCAAAGCCTTGCTTGGCTCTTCCCACTAGCCACAGAAAGAGTTACTTGGGTCCAGGGGGGTGGAAATAAAGGGCAGGGATATGTAGGGAGAAAGGGCATGAGAGATGGTCATGACCTGGCCTCATCTCCAGGTGCTGGCAGCAAAAATGAAGCTCCCTGTGCTCACCGGAGCCAGGTCAGGGAGTGCCTATGGTGCTTAGGATGGGGTGAAGATGCAGAGAAAGGTCAAGGCAAGTCGGACCTCTCCCCACCTTGACAGCTCCCTAAGCCCACCTTGCTAGCACCACAGCTCAGCTCTCCGTGTGGGACCACGCACCAGCCCTGTTCTCCCCTTGCACGACACCACTTCAGCCCCCCTGGGCACAACCGTGGTAGTCATGGACCAGACGAGAAGAGCCTCTTGGCACCAGACTGACCTTCCTGGCAGCACCGAGGAAGCTGGACCCTCCATCCTGTCCCCAGGGTCACTTCTCCCCCAGGTAGTTGGTGGTCTTCCCGGTTTTCTTCAGCGTTTCCAGCAAGGTGTCGATGCTGTGCTCTGACTCAATGCACACCTTCTTGTTGGGCAGGTTGATGTCAAACTGGACGCCTGGGAGGGGGAGAAGAGTCCCCAGAGATGAGGAGCCAAGTCCTCTCCAGGTCATGACCCCCCACATAAAATAATCATAGACTCATAGGACATGAGGGTTGGATGGGACCTTAGGAGGTCACATCTTGTCCAACCCCCTGCTCCAAGCAGGACCAGCCCCAGCTGCATCATCCCAGACATGAATTTGTCTTAAACACCTCCAAGGATGGAGACGCCACCGCCTCTCTGGGTAACCCATCCCAGTGCTTCACCACCCTCCTAGGGAAATAATTTTTCTTAATATCTAACCTCGACTTCTCTTGCTGTAACTGGAGCCCATTGCTCCTTGTCCTGTCATCTGCCCCCACTGAGACCAGTCCAGCTCCATCCTTTTTGCAGCCCCCGTGCAGGGGGCTGAAGGCTGCTATTAGCACCCTCCAGTCTCTTTTGCAAACTGGTTTGGATGGAGCTGATCCTGCCTTAGGAGGGGACCTTCCTCTGAGCCAGGGGGTGCTTGCTCCCCCTTGCCTGGGCTCTAAACACTGCCCACACCCCTGCATGCACCGGGTGCGCGGGGTGGCTGCAACCCGAACCCAAATCTGAATCCGCTCCGGTGTTACAAGTGGCTGCAGCCAGGCAGGAGGTGGAGGTGGAGCAGGCCCAAAACTGGAGTGGGGGGGGCCCAAAACTGGACACAGGACTCCAGGTGTGGCCTCACCCGTACCGAATAGAGGGGAAGAATCACTTCCCTCCATCTGCCGGCAATGCTCCTACCGATGCAGCCCAGGATGCCCTTACCCTTCTTGGCAACACGGGCACACTGCTGACCCATCTCCATCTTCTTGTCCCATCCCCCCAGGTCCTTTTCTGCAGAGCTGCTGCCTAGCCAGTCACCCCCAGCCTGCACCAGTGCATGGGATTGCTCTGTCCGAAGTGCAGGACTTTGCACGTGTCCTAATTCAACCTCATGAGATTTCTTTTGGCCCAGTCCTCCAGTATGTTGAGGTCTCTCTGAATCTCCCTCAATTGCAATTCTTTATTGCTTATTCTTTATTTACAGGTGGGGAAACTGAGGCACACAGGCAAACATGGCCTTCCCCCAAAGTCAAATGGCCAAGCCCAGCTCCATCCCTCTCACCACTAGACATCCTTGTCCCTTTGGTGCACAGACACATCCTTAGAAACAACTGGAAGTTCAAAGCAGCTGGCCAAGGGGAACAAGGGCTCAAGACTGAACACAGGAACCTGGTTTCTGTAGCAGCAGGGATCTCAAAAACAGCCGGGGCATGCATTTAATTAACAACACTATCCCCAGAAACTGGGGATACCAGCTGACATGTGTTATTGGGGCCCCATATAAGTCCCATCAGGCAAGAAAGATGAGTAGCCAGGCTCCTTCCTGCTCCTTCCAAAGGCCTTCCTCACTCTCTGGTGCAGCAAGCTGCTACACCAGTGAGAGGCTCAAAGGGATGGACTGTCTCCCGGCTGGCAGGAACCAGAGCTCTGCTTCCAGTGCAGCCGGCCAGAGAGAAGCATGCATGTGCAACCAGGCCCGGCGAGAGCCAGGTGTCCGGGCTGCATTTGCATTCGCCGCACATGCTCTCCGCGGCATCGGGGCTGCCTCTGCTCATTGATTACCGGTTTCATGTGCCTCGTTTCTACCGGACTGCTGCCTGGTTTGCGGGGACCGCAGCCCGGCTCTCACGGTAAACACAGCTCGGCAGAAGGCTTCTGCACAACCAAACCACCCCAGGTCTTGCATACAGGATGAGGAGCCAGCCTGCACATAGGAGCTGCAAGCTCTCTCCTTGCCGGGCTAGCTCTCCAGCTAAAGGCCCAGTCAGCTTGCATGAAGAACCAAAGCGGAACAGCTGAGAAAAGCCGCTGGCTTGGCAGGGCTCTCCCCTGAGCCAAGACGAAGGGGTGGGGTTGCTTTCTGGGAGCAGGAAGGAAAGCAGCCTCTTTGATCAGCGGGCTGGACAGGTCAGCCTGCCCCTCTCCGGACCTTGCTGGGCCTGGCTGCAACCTGGGCTGGTGCTTGCACTGGGGCATCAGCGGCTTTTCCTCCTGCCCTTGGGACCAGGGCTGTAGCCCAAGCCAGTCCCCAGAGGCCCACAGCTGCCCTGCACTGCAAGAAGAGGAACTGGACTGGAATTTCCTGTTGTCACGAGGCAGCTTTGCCCTCCTCCCCCGCCGCTCTCAGGGTCACGGGAGTCTGCTGCAAGATTAATAATTAGTTACTGGCTCACCACCTGCCACGGCAGCAGGGTGAGGGGCAAGGTGAGTCTCTGGGAGATGCTACACCCACAACACCCGCTTCTGCACTCCTTCCCGAGCCCAAGGGGGATGCAGCCGGGCAGGGGGTACCCCAGGGCTGCCCCATTCCCCAGGCCCGGCGAGGGGATGTATTTTGGGGGTGGGCTCGATCTCCCAGGAGGGGTGCAGCAAGCAGGCTTTGAATACTGCCCTGCACCAGCTCCCATCCCCTTCGCCTTCTCCCTCTCCACATGAACGCCTCCTACTGCTTCTGCTTCACGCCTGGAGATGCTGATGTGCTTGGGCATGTTTCTCTACGCAGAGGATCCAGCAGGCTCCTTGGGGCCTCCCGGATGTGCCCAGGTAACAGGTTGAGGCTACCCTCAACCTCCTTCTGCACCGGCAAACCTGGTCCAGGGTGCCATGCGATGGAGAGTGCACACCAGGGAGGAGAGCAGGGACCTTGCACCAGCCTCTGCCAAGGAGAAGGGAGGAAGCAGGGGCCTGGCACGAGGACTCCCGTTTCATGTGGCTCACTCATCCCCCGGTACTTCTGCACCTGGCTGCTAGGCTGGGATGTAAATCATCATCAGCAGCAAGTTCGTTGCCACGCTTTGCAACCTGCTGCTGGCTCCCAGGCCTGGCGCAGTGCCACTCACCTCCCAGCTTATTCAGGACGCGAGTGACCGCGTTGGAGCAGCCTTCGCAGGTCATGTCCACGAAGAACTCGTGCTTCTGAAACGAGGAGGAGGAGGAGAGGTTGGAGACGGCAACGAGGCCTGTCTTGCCTTGGGACTGCAGCTCACAGCGCAAGGCTGCTCCTCTCCAGAGAGGAGAGAGGAGAGCAAAACAGGCTCCTGCCGCAACCCCGAGGGGCACAACACAGGGACTCTCAGCATCGACCCAGGTTTCTGCACACCGTTCTCAAGCTTTTTAGGCTGGAGGCACCCCTCGTCAGGCTTGCTAGAACATACCAGCTTTTCTTTTCACTCCTTTTCTGACTGCTCAAAACTGCTAGAGCCATTCTTCTGTTGCAAAGGCCTCGGCAAAACCGCAGCAGGGCAGCACGGTTTTAGCACCGTGAATTCCTACCGGAAAACTCTGGGTTTATCATGCCAATCGTGTGCACGGCCAACTGCAACCCCGCAACAACCCGAAAAGGATCTCGAGGCACCCCGGGTGCCACATCCCCGTGGCTGAGCGTCGCTGCCCTAACATTATCGTGTTTTCTCACGTTCCTGTCTGCAACCATGTCTTGCCTCCTTTTAGGTAAGAGCTTTTGGGAAGGGACCCTGTTTTGCAGCTGAGCTGCAAGCCACGACTGCGGCTGCCGGTATACGTAACCGATAATCCCGCACCTATACACACACTGCAGGGACCGTATGGGCACCCTTAAATGGGACCCCGGCTGCCTGGTAGAGATGCCGGTAACAACACAGTCCCTGCCAACTATTAAAAAGGAAAGTGGCCGGCTCTCCGCTCTCCCACACGGGCCGTCTGCTCACGATCGGGGATAATAACCGACTTTCCCACGACATCGCCCGGCCTGTTTCGAGGGAAAGCGTCTCGCCCTCGAAGCAGCGCCGAGCGCGCGGAGGCAGGACAAGGAGAGACGCGGTGGCCCGGGGCCCGCTGAGCCCTGCGGGAAGACGGGCAGGTCTGACGCTGCCTGGAGACCCCTTGGCGAGCGGCGGGGCGCTGAGCATCCTTCAAGCCATGGTGGGGCATCCTTCAAGCGAGGTCTGGGCTCCTTTGGCATCGCTCGGGGCTAATGATGAGCCGCCGCTTCCGCCTCCTTAAGACTTGCTCCCCTGGGGCAGCTCCCAAAAGGATGCTTGCACGCCCCGGGGACCATCCTTGCACCCAACCCCTGGGCAC